TTTTTTTTTTTTTTTTCAGGAGCATGTTTATTGTGTTTGAGATGATACATCAGGTGCTCTCTGACCTTGGCATCTTTGTTGAAAATCAATTAACCATATATGGATGGATCTATTTCTGCACCCTTTGTTCTGTACCATTGACTATGCCCATTGTTACTGTAAACCAGACCTTTTTATTTACTGCTGCTTTATACTAAGTCCTGTAATCAGGTCATAATAGTCCTCCAACTTTGTTCTTCTTTTTCAGAATTCTAGGTTCTTCATATTTCCATATCAATTTTAGAATCAGTTTATCAATTTCTATAAGAAAGACTGCTGGGATTATGATTTGTATTGCATTGAATTTACAGATGAGTTTTGAGAGAATTACCATCCTTACAGTAGTGAATCTTCTGATCCAGTGTTCAGCAAACATTTTTCTGTAAAGAACTAGACAGTAAAAATATATATATATGTATATATATATTTAAATATATATCTTTATTGATTTCAGTGAGAGAAAGGGGGGAGGGAGAGAGAGACAGAAACATCAGTAATGAGAGAGTTGTCATTGATCGGCTGCCTCCTGTGTGCCCCTTCTTGGGATTGAGCCCGTAACCTGGACATGTGCCCTGACCGGGAATTGAACCGTGATCTCCTGGATCCTAGGTTGATACTCAACCGCTGAGCCATGCCTGGCCAGGCAGTAAATATTTTAAGTATGACAATTTTCGTGACTGTTTCATGCAGTAAGTTTATGCATTTTATGTTACTTTATTTTTCTTTCCATAGTATGTTTACATAGTTGCTAAGCTGTATCTTTCTGACTTTCTCCTACTTAGACAGTTCTGCTCAGTGTGGGTGATTTCTTGATTCTCTTTTTCCTGATCCTCAAACAGCTTTATTTTCTGCTTCCAGCCACAATTTAAGAGTTTGGTGTCTCCTGTTCTACTCTGTTTTGTTTTACTCCAGGGAATGGTGGAAAGTGTAATAAGCTGGGGTAAGTGCAGTAAATGCTGCCTGGCTCTGCCCT